TTTATAATTCAATAAAAATGAAAAAAGTCACGTAGGACAATTGCCAGAATGTTGCTGGAATTACTAAAGTAATCAATTTTCTTTGACGAAGCATTCAAGCGATACCTTGAAAATTTTTTGCACTAAAGTGAGCATCGTATGAAAATTGTGATTCTTATGATTTTCTTTCTCTTAGAAGTTTGATGAACTTTCCTAGGAGCTTATTTGCACATTTAACCTATGGTACCACAAAATTTGGCCATATGGAAGACTTTGGCACCATTTTCAACAGCCAAATTGAAGACCTTCAAGATCATAGTTCACTAATGGGAAAATGACAAACAGTATCTAAACTTTGATTCAATATGGACCATACTTTGGCTCAATATGTAATGTGACTTCTGAATTTTTAATTTGTTCAATGTGGTCCTTGGACTTTAACCTAATTTGCGATATGGTCTCTGAACTGTTAATTTGTTCAATGTCATCTCTAAACTTTTGGTATATATTCAATTTAGTTCTTGAAACTATATGAAAATATTCAATGTAGTTATTCCATTAATTAAAGTTCTGGGACTACATTGAACATGTACCAAAAGTTTATGGATCACATTGAACAAATTAAAAGTTCAGGGACCACATTGAATATTAGGCTCAAGTTCATGAATTACATTGAACAAATTAAAAATTTAGGGACCACATTACACATTGGGCTAAAGTTTAGAGGCTATTTGTGTCATTATCCCTCACTAATTCTTGATTAACCTCATAGAAGCTGATTGCCCCTTGCCCACATCCCAAATCCCATTGGAAACACGTTGGATCCCAAAAGGGGAAAAATTTTCACACCAATTTCAAGTTCAACATTCATGAAGAAACGTGAGATAGGCCGGATTGATTGTCGCCCAAATCGACCAAATGTATGCGGTAGTAGTAGCAGCCGCAGCCGCCATTGCATGTCTAGGCTACCAAATTCCCAGCATAGGATGAGTCCACCTACGACAGCTTTCTTGTATGTGTATGCGTGTGTTCCTTATGGCCTCGTACCAGAAGCGACGACCTCCAAACCGCCTTGGCATGAGCCCGCTGAGGGACGGCATACATCATTGTGCTCGAGCAGCACCACCATAGCTCCCTTGCCCCCTCTCTCGAACTGAGCAATAGTTAGGCTCCTACCGAATATTCCATCGCCGAGGAGATCAGAGCGGAGATATCATTAGAAAGTCTTGTCAGCAATACCCGGTAAAAGCTTCGCGACGAACAGTTGCATTTTGTTAATGTAATCACAACGTAAGATTGACGATGTAGACCAAGACAAAACCCATACTCAAAAGACTTTTTATATTAGGCCGTCCTTGAATCTAATGTTGTCTTCAACATTACAAGGAGGACCCCCCCTTATCAACAAGGCAAAAAAATAAAGAGAAACCGATGACCCCATCTGCCAAATATAGAGGAAAAAAACATAATGGAACGCCAAAAAAAAAAGACAATAATAATAATAATAAAAGCAAAAATAGGAAAAAAAGGGTAAGGAAAGGAAAGGAACCTACCAAAGCGACCATACTTTATAATTTCCATTGGGCACACTTGGTTTCGTGTGGGCACGTGGAAAATGTGTGGGGGCCCACAACGACCGTCCCACGTAATAGGTGTGCCTGACCGTGATTGGTTTCTACACTGACAACCTTGCTGCCTCGGATTGGTAATTGGGCCCACTCGTTAATCGAAGGATGCTCTTTAAAATCAAGATCATAATCATAACAATGACATCATTCGATGTGATACCATTTGGAACCTTAACTATACATGTTCATTTGAGTAAATACCACAAAGAATCTCAAATTATATCCATTGTGACACAAATATTTTAATTTTATGTCATTAGAAAACCTAAACTTACCCACTATGACCCAAATTCGCCAAACTTTTTTTTTTTGTTACTAAAAAACCCAAACTTATACACGTGTGACATATATACCATTTATTTCAGTACCATCTAAGACATATTTTAAGATTTTAGTGACAAAAAAAAGTTTAGTGTATTTATGTTATAGTAGACATCATTTGAAGTTTTTTGTTGTATTAACCTTATTTATTAGGTGAATCGCTAATTTCATCAGTTGTAGATGGGTTTAATAATTCGCCGATGCGTATATATTGATTCCAGCAATTTAATTTTTTTTATTCATTTGCCTATCGCGTCTTGTGTTAAGATAGTTACGATTCGAAGTGAATTTTTAATTTTAAATGCTAAGGTAAATAAAATGACTATAAAGATTTGTAACTAATATTTGAAAGTAACTTTTTCAATAAAGCAACTTGAAATGATATCTTTTTAAGCATTGGGATCGGCACATGTGCTCAAAATTAAAATCGTTTTGCTAAATCATAATTCTTTATTCAAAATTTTATATCTTCTAATGCCATCTATAAATTTTTATATCTCTGACACAAAATACTAATTTAAGTTATTTTACCGAATCTTACCATTCAATTGGATCCTTGATTTACGATTAAAAAATTTTAAGGTTTCAATTCATGATGCAATTTACCCTTGATATAAGACCCTCAAATAGGTAGAGAACTAGCAACAACGACCGTGCGATGCACAATTTCTTCCCTCGACTTTTTAAATACTGGAAACATAAATATAGAAGTAGTCAATGCTACAGAGATATCATACTATTCAGGCTTTCTAATACAAAATATTTGGTCTTTGTTTATAAAACATTTTTAGTGGAGACATTTTTCTTTTCAAGTGAAGATACTCTTCAACATTAGTGCAAATGAACATATATATCTTATTAGAGTTGTGACACTTATGTTTTGGAGTTAATTAGATGTAAGCTTTTATGAATTTCCATGTCAATTTTAATAATAATGAAATGATGAAATTTTCTCATATAATCATTTTACTAATCATCAAGATACGTGACTTTTGCTTTATCGATCATATGAAATTTACATTTCAAGATGTGCATTTTGAATTGTAGTCAAGACGACATTAGTTTTGAATATTATATTGTTTTTTAGAAATCTTTTGGTAAGGAAGGGCCGTTTGAAATTAAACTGAAACTAACTAAACTATATTGTTAAGATAATCAATTGGTTTACTGAATTAATTTCTTTTTGAGAAAAATATAATTTTTTTGACATTACTTCTTGGTATTGGTTGGTGGCTTTTATGATTTTAATTGGGTAAACGACGATATTTGCCTTCGAAAGAAAGAGCCATGAGGCAATTTCGAGTTAAAACTCTCCAAGTTTTGTTCGATGTAATTCATAAATAGTGTTTAATCTAAAAAATTGTCTTAACATGAGTTAAAGTGTCTAATCAAAGTATAATGCTCCCAATAATTTTTCAGTTAAAACTAATCTCATGTTATTTAAATTTTAAACTAAGATAGGCCATTTTCTGCTCGAACAATAAATGTGTTGCGCCGACCTTAATCTTTTCCACTTGTTTTTACTTTCTTCATCTTTTCTTTTTTCTTAAACAGAGAACACAGCTCGTTTACTTTTACAATTAGAGTTTCTGCTTTACGTAGAGACTTGGTTAACATATGTTTCCTTGATATAAATAGTAAATTGGAAATAGACTTACACTATTTACTCATGTTTAATTTTTCTGACAATGAAGGACTTGAATAGAGTTTTAGAGTTGAAAAATGTTAACCACCCCATGCACGCTTCTTTTTCGAATCATATATAAGCAAGGAGGCTATTTTAATAAGTTATTTTGATAGATTTTAATAATTTTAGGACTTTGATGGAGTGTGATTTTTTGGAGTAAATAATGACTCATCTTTTATACCTAAACAATAAAGTATGTTTAATATTTTATTCAAATTATAGACTTATGAATCTTTTGTTGTTATCACTAAATTTTAATATGTTATCAGAGTAAACATTTTCCACATTATATTGTTTTCTTTTTGTCTTTATTCATGTAAGTTGTGGAAAAGTTCGAGTGCCCACAATTTAGGCTTGGACCTCATTGAATTGAGATGTTGCAAAAGTCGATCGAAGTTTCTATTGAGAAAATCTCCTATGATGTTTTGAATATGATAATATAATCAAAGGCTACTGAAATTTGCATTAGTTGGGTAAATCAGTTTATAGATGCACATGCCAATATGTAAATTGAATCTCAAATTGGAACATCAGAAGGTATTGAATGTGAAGAATGTCTGAGGCTGCATGGACTTATGTAGAAGGTGAACAAACTGTAGAAAGAGGGTTCATTAGGGATTGGAGATGCTTTGCTTCTACAGAGTAGAGGACGTGATGCATGTTTCTACATTTCTTAGATAAGAAGACCCTGACTATTCTACAATTTGATTTGAATCCAAATTGGTGTCTAACAACTAAAAGCTCTGGAATCCGTAACAAGAAGCTCAGAAATGATTAGAGCAGTTTTTCTCCTTTAAGATAGCAAATCAGAGAGTTATACAGCCTGTAACAGCCGAACGCTCTAGGAAGAGAGTAGATTGTAGGGTTGTTACAGGTACTTGTGTCTGTAGAGTTATATATTGAGTTTTGTGTAGCAGATTAGTAATGGATTCAAGCCTTGTTAAACGCTATTAGTGTGAGACAATAGACGTAAGCCAAGTGGAAGGCCGGTCAATTAAATATCTATCTTGTACTATCTTCTATCTCTTTAACCCATTCATCATCTACTTGATGAAAGCTACTACATTTGTAAAACAGTCTTTCTTTCACAAAAGCACATTCACAAGTTATTAAGGAAAAAAAAATAGTTTTCTTAAAAGTACTAATTCACCAACTTTTGATGATTGTGTTAGCTATTTTCCAGTGGTATCAGAGTAGGTTGTTGAAGTTTCCGTCGGGATGTTGTCGTGGAGGACACTTGGCCAATTTCCCAGGCACTGCTACATCAATTCACTGTAAAATCAGCATAATTCAATTCAAAGGGTATCGATTAATTTTAGTTTACCATCACTAAAATACGATTTCATTATCAAGCCATTTTAGAGTACACCAAGCACTCTCTTTTCTTCTTCTTCTTCTCTCTCTCTCTTTCTCTCTCTCTCTCTCGTTTTCTCTTGACAAAATCATATCCATCTTCTCCGTCTCTCTGTGTACTCTTCACATCTTCTGGTGTCATCATATATAAACCTTCCTCTCTCTCTCTCTCTCTCTCTCTCTCTCTCTCTCTGTCTCTGCGTAACTATGAACTCCATATGACAGTAATCACCTTCATCATCATTCTCCTCACTTCATCACCTGCACTTCTCATATCATAGCAGCTATCATGTCCTTCCCAAGCAACCACCTCTCCCACGACGACCTCTCCTCCCACCTCCACCACCACCACCACCACAATCAGTTCCCCCACCAACCGCCGCCGCCGCCGCCGCCACCTGCCCACGAACCCTCCCCCACCACCGGCGCCTCCTCCGCCCCGAACTGGCTCAACGCCGCTCTCCTCCACAACCCCACCGCGAACTTCCTCGACCTCCACACCTCCTCTACCCACTCCTCCGCTTCCGGCGTCATGACCGGCGTCATCGCGCCTCCCCACGACCCGGCGGAAGCGGGTAGGCGCGAGGACGACGGGGTCGCTGCATTGGAGGACTGGCGCGAGGCCAAGCACAAGGCCGAGATTCTGGCCCACCCTCTGTACGAGCAGCTCCTGTCGGCTCACGTGGCCTGCCTCCGGATAGCGACGCCGGTCGACCAGCTTCCCAGGATCGACTTGCAGCTCGCCCAGTCCGCTCAGGTCGTGGCTAAGTACTCGGCTCTCGGCGGTGCTGCCGGCCACGACGGGGTTGGGGACGACAAGGAGCTTGACCAATTCATGGTAATTTCGCTTAAAGAAATTTACAAATGTAGCGATAACTATAATTTTTTAATCTTCTTTTTTTGTTTGACTATCTTTCCGAAGGCAAATCTTGTCGCGGTCAGTCTTGTAGAACCTGCACTTCCAACTTTTCAATACAGGAAACTCTGAAGTACTTCTGGAGAAATTTCTTTTAATATCACGATCATTGATCTTAGTTCTTAGTCGAAACTGATGACTGTGATGAGATATGATATATCAAGAAGATTGTTCTTAAGATTACCCATAACTGGTCTCTAACATATCAATCATGGGAATTTTTTCCAAGTTACTGGAGTGTTTTTCTTGACGATCGGTTGTTTCTTTCTAGGGTTTTGTGTCTGTGTTCTTGCGCTTTGGCTTGTGACCGGGTCAAATTTAATTCACCATGTACGAATCATACTGATGAACCTGAAAGAGACAATGAATGCGTTTGCGTCTGCGTCTGTCTCTCTGGGTCTGGGTCTGTCTCTCTGAGACCAATTGTTTTTCATTTTTTGCAGTAAAAGTACTTCATACACACAATTATTTTCTGACATGAGGGTTCTTCAAATTTGTGCTTATTTGCTTCCCGGTGTTTCTGTCATGGAAATTTCTGACACTCAGTTGTCTCTCTCTCTCTTTTTTTGTTGTCTCTTTTAATTTCTTTTGCTTGGAAATGGTTGTTGGCAGTTAATCTTGCACGTCGGGCTTAGGTGAATTACATCAGTCGGAGGCACCGACAGTTTTCTTTCCCTCTCTCTCTCTCTCTCTCTCTCTCTCTAGCGTATCGAGAAGGGAAGATCTTGTGGATGATGGGTCTTTTCGGGTGATGGTTGGGGAACAAGTGGATCTGTTGGGTCGTTGCTTGAAAAAAAAATTGATTGGATTGAATAAGGATGTCACAGAGACTGTAACATAAAGCGAAGATTGGTGCAACTTTTGGCACGCGCCAAACACATGATCTGTTTCTTTGCAAAGCGTTAGTTATATCGCTATGCACAGCCTCCCCCGCTCCGGTCGAATACTTCGGATTGGAAGTTCTTGCTTTGGGTTGTGAAAGGGTGAAAACTGTTGCTGTGTGCTTGAATCAGTTCGTAGAAATTTTGGGGAATGATCTTTTTCGTTCGACCAAGAAAGCCCCAATGAATTGTCTGCTTTCTGTTCCTGAATTTTCATGAGATGTGAATGCTGTAGCAGATACATGACATTGACAATTGTATCTACCAAATCCTCCTAATGCTTCACGAAAGTTGATCTCTGGATGAGCATATGTACATGTCTGTATGTGAGGATGCTTTGTTCCTAGAATCTGGACCTTTTCTCACCTCTAGTTGTTCATGAAAATGTAGATATGTGGGTAACAAATGAAAAGGCACTAAACAATATAGCACTGTATTGAAGCTGACGAAGCTTTATTCCACTACATGACGGCTTCTGCAATTTTTAATGAGGGTTTTAGGAACAAAGCAACAGGTCCATGATTATAGTTGATAGAATGGGACCAATCTGTGTATGGAACTGTCACTAAATTTTTTTATGCAAGCGACGGCCGAAACTAAATTCTTTTCCAATACAGCTCAATATTATTAATCATTTTGTTCTTGATATTGCAGACACATTACGTCCTCTTGCTCTGTTCTTTTAGAGAGCAGTTACAGCAACATGTCCGTGTCCACGCCATGGAAGCAGTAATGGCTTGCTGGGAGATTGAGCAGTCCCTGCAGAGCTTAACAGGTGATGTTCTTCTTCCAGGACTTGTATTCTACTCTGTTTTTTTTTTCATTTTGGGTCTCATCGAGCATGGTGACTATTCTTGTCAAGGTAAATGGGCTCTTTTTTGTTAGTATTTGCTTGGTTAAAAGAAGGTTAGCAACGTTGCAATCTTATTCCGTGAAACCTTTTGAGTCTCTCTGTTCATTTTTTTCACTCTCTTCATGTTAATTGGAGCCTTATTAAGCAATTTATAAAATAATAATAATAACAATAACAATAATAATAATAATTAAAGTTTCCTAAGCATAGATATGATGGCTGGGCAGATTTGGTATACATTACTTATGATACACGGCATTTACTTTTGTTACTTTATCTTTGATGAATCAATCGCTGGCATTTCAGCTGGCTTATCATTATGGTTCTTCTTGAGCATCCACACGATCGTTTTATCTTTATATCACATTAGTAAATGTGATGGTAAGGTCTTCATTTAGCCTAAGATAATCTTTAGCCAAGGGAAGGATTTAACTAGCACATTCTAATGATGTCTAGTCCCCTAATCGTGAATCAGGTTAGCATAATCATGTTCTGACATTACAGACATGCCTTATCGCAGGAGTTTCACCCGGTCAAGGAATTGGTGTGACGATGTCCGATGATGAAGATGACCCAATAGATAGCGATGCAAACCTGTTTGATGGAAGTTTTGATGGTCCAGATAGCATGGGATTTGGCCCTCTCATTCCAACGGAGACAGAACGATCGTTAATGGAACGCGTGAGGCAAGAATTGAAGCACGAGTTGAAACAGGTAAAACAGTTGGAATCCTGAAATTCCTGTATGTTACCTATCGATGCGTGATCATAAATCCTTGTATTCTTTCTTTTTCCCTACAGGGGTACAAGGAGAAAATTGTCGATATTAGAGAGGAAATTTTGCGCAAGAGGAGAGCGGGAAAGCTTCCAGGGGATACTACATCAGTCCTAAAAGCCTGGTGGCAGTCGCACGCTAAGTGGCCATATCCTACGGTATGCTCTATATCGAGCATAATAATCATACATCATTATGCTGAAATGGAAACAGCGTAACGTGAAAACCAGAGGAAATTAATTAGCATGAGAGTTGTTACAGTTGTGTTATTCATGGATTGAATTTCTCTTCCTAATCCTCATATAGTCACAGTGTCTTCAGTTCTCTGTGACAGAGAAAAGCAGTACTCTAAAATGTGGATATAAAAATAGAAAGAAGTGAAAAGAGATAAAAATTGTTGGAAGTACTGTATCTATAAACAAATTTAGGAACCGTGAAAGATTGTTGCAAGCGATTATTACCTGCTTCTATGTAAATGATTAACCTAGCTCTTTGGAAGAATCTAATTCTGTTTTGGGACTTGACAGGAGGAAGACAAGGTGAAGCTGGTGCAGGAAACCGGTTTGCAATTGAAGCAGATAAATAATTGGTTCATCAACCAGAGGAAAAGAAACTGGCACAGCAACCCTTCATCGTCGTCTGTCTCAAAGAGCAAACGCAAAAGGTCCCTCAATATAGGCATTGCCTCGTTAATGCGAAACTTCCTTGATATTCCATTTCTTTGCATGCTAAGTTTGAAGAAATACTGCAGGTGAAAGCAGCAGCTATTGATCCCTTGATGCAGATTTGAGCAAGAGCAACGATCAAGTTCTGACAGACAATATTCAGTGCTTCACTAGAATGGGTACTTAAAGAGTTAATACAAGGAACATTGGCCAGTGGCCTCATACAGAGCTTCATCAAACAGGAACATTCGGAAGATGACTTTGATTCTAGGTAAATTAAAATATGTTAGCGAAGAGGACGGCTCTCGCCTTGTGACAGGAATTCTGAAGGCACTCAACTGACCACTGATGCGATTGTGATCATTGAGGGGGTACTGAGCTAGGAAATTACACATTTAGAACTAGAAGTAATTTCGGATGGTTTCATTGTCTCTATTGATCGTCTATTTTACTGTTTTGTGAATATATAGGCGTAGTTAGGTATTTGTGTACAGTCGGTATAATGATCTCTGCATAGTTCATCTCCATTCTGCATGCTGATTACGTTTATAGCTTTTCTTCGCTCCCCAATGTAGTGTAGATTTACAGTAAGAGTAACATACAGTTGTGCTCTGTTAGATTACTGGGTTTGTATTATTACTGGGGATAATGAGTGAGTATGGTTATGGACACGATCATTTGTCTGAAAAACTATATGGTATAACAACCCTCAAAGATCGTCTGGTTCTCATGATGATTTAGCCACTGCATTGTCGTGGCTACATATTTCATTCATTCTGCAGTGATTGTACATTAGGCTGGATGCAGTAGAAAAGTTCTGTTCATATCCCCTCAGCTTCATACATGTGAGAAAAATTTATCATGCTCTCATCTGATGCAACAAAAAACAACTTTATCGCGACGACAGTTTCTGGCTGTCATGAACTCCCACACATCGAGTGATCACCTCTAGCATGGCTCATGTGGCATACGAAGCTCCGTTTCTTGAAAAACCGAGATCCGAATAGGGGGAAACGTTCCCGGGGGTCAGTCTAAATGCAACATTAAAGCTAACTATTTGAGCTTGTCCTTATGAATCCAGTAAAAAGGGCTGTACTTTACAATAATCGCCAGGAATTTCCTCAGGTTTTCTCCAAGATGACCCATGACAAAGTATTGAAAATTTGTTTCGGCCGGCCAACTCCAAGTCAGCTGATGCTCATTGGCAGAACGAGTCCGAGACAGAATGGTGCGTAAAATAGATGAACATTGGAATTTTCTGATGCGACTTGGGCATATAAAAACATTGCTTCATTTCAACCGCCCTTTTGTCCTGGTATTACAAACATTCATTAAAAACTGTTTGATGATTTCTCAATTATTGTGTATGGTTTTTTTGGTATCTTTATGGCATTATATTTTACTATTCCAATCATTGACTTCTTGGCACGTGTACCATGCACGCTATTATACAATCCACTAAATCATTTGATGCACCACTTCAGGATCTCCTAACGTTTGTGCCACCTACCCCCAATTCTTGAACTGGATAACTGCTATTCCTATTTTTCCTATTAAAGAAAAGGGAGGTATGATGGTACAATTCACAGATATGAACTGCTGTGAGTGAAGGCCATGGCTTGTCATGAAATTTAAAGCTTCTTCTTAGTGTAGTGAACTGAAACCTCATGAGATTACAAGGGCCATATCTAGGTTGTCCAGCAACAGCTTCAGACATAAGAACTTCACTATCACATAGCTTCCCGGTATGGCCAATGACAACACGAGCAACAAAAGCCTGGCGTTCGCTCATATCGAATGTATGCCCAATGCCGCCATTATCCCTAATACTCTGCTTTCCAGGTACGAGGGGTTTTTAAACATCCAATGCAACACGAAGGAATCCACAATGACCCCGAGATTTGGTGTGAATTGACTCAACTTTCACCACTTGGCCCGCCAAACAAGCAATTGCTTTCGCATTGTTCTCTGTCATTTAGCCGAAGACCAATCCATGTATTTGCAGCCGCACCTCCAGTTCATGAAAAACAGAGGTCCTCTGGTCTCCTCTGAGCATCCCATCTCTGCAGGTTTATGCGTTTTCCTCTAATCGACCAAAAGGCCAGAACTTAGGACTCTGCTTGGTGCCAATCATGAAACCTGAGCAAATACATCTTCTCATTTTGAGGGGTTATGGTAATCTCAACCGTACCAGCCCAGGCTTTCCTTCAAACTCTAGCTACGCAGCTTGACTCAAGCACTTCTCCAACAAAATCCTTCCAATGAAAACCATCTCAGCTTCCTCATCATCAACTTGCTCCAAAACCAAATGATCCCCCAGAAGATTGTCTACCAGAGATGCTTGCGATGTTAAGGGAACCTCTGCAGGCATCCTGTAATGAGAAAAAAGACAGATTAGCAGAGAATAAACTCAGAAATGTGGTCGAACAGTTGATAGGGACAGTGTGTAGTGATAGGAAAACTAATGCGACGAAACAATGCCAAAGAGACTTAACTAAAATAGAAAGCAGATGGAAATAACTAATGATGATAGAGAGCGAATACGAGGATAATGGATGATCGAGAAAAAATGGGGGGTGACGGTCATGGAGGAAGGTAGCTGAAAGAAAACGTACATTGTGATGTAGGGAAAGCTCTCGACAAAGAGAGAGGAGCTCTCCAGAGGCGAGAGACACAAATCTATGTATACCTTCCTGAAGAGAACTCAATATCCCATTCTTTTTGGAGCATAAATGCTAGAAAGCTAACATATGAAGATAAGAGAAAAATGGTTGTTGTCATTTCTAGCGTACAGAAGCTCTGTTAGTAAAATCTCTTGATTCAAATTGCATAGACGTACTTATGTGCAATCGATCTTGAGCTTCGGTGGCCGAAAAATCAATCTTGAGCTTCACTCTTTAATACCAATGATCTTCCATTATTTTTGCAGTGTTCTACTTCAATGCAGGGTCACAAGACGTCGTGAACATGTCAAATGGTGATAACATTAACTGCAATAGTGCATCTACGTTCATACACTAATCAACGGACCAGCCACCTTTTCCCTCAACAAAGCCTGCGAGTATTACTTCGTCTACACATTTGCTAATAGTGACCGTTGCTCGCAGGGCCAAAAATTAGCTGTCACCGTCAGTGAAACTTCCACCGCCCCGACCTCCAGTCCAATTGGGATCCCTGTAACTACCAGCCCTAGCCACTGGGACCACCACATCTCCGCCACCACCTGGAAGCAATGCTTCATATTTCTGTTTGACACTGCTAGTCCTATTCGTGTCCATTGCCATAAGCTTATTATACGAGTTCATTATACATGAGGATCATTATTTCTACTAGATATAGGTGAACTATTGATAGATTGTGAGATGTTGCTGTAGGGTTCCTTAAGTGCTAAAAACGCAGGGGAATTGATAAACCGAAACTCTAGACAGGATCCATGCGCATATTGACATCTAAACAGAAGTTCGACACGTACTTTTTTGTAGATCGAAGATAAATTGACAATCGATTGTGTCTGGATTAGCGCCCCAAGTGTTGCGCCTCTACCGGTATCCACACACACGAACGGAAGTCTCCAACGATCCAAGTGCTAGCTAAAGATCTTGGACTTCTTTTTCCTGATCGCCTTTGATCTTCGAGACTCTCTCAAAGATCTCTGAATAGAGAACGATTCTCTTCGTATTCTCTTGGAGGTGTTTTTTTTCTCTCTTAGGGTTTTTCGTCACCTACACGCTCTATATATACATATATAGCCTCATTATCTACGCGAATTAAAAAAAGTGGGGCCGGGCGATTTGGGCCCGCCAAACTGTCCATCTTCAATCATACGTTTAATCGTTATCTCATAACGTGCACGACTGCGTAGATAAGTTGAATAGGAGAATAAATTAAAATCTACTTCTTATTTTAAGTAGATCCCGGCGCACAGAAAATATTGACTCAGTTCGCTATTGTGTGCGACCATGTAGGTTCACTAAACATTAGCAGTGTGCTCAAACCCCTTTTTGGCCCACAAGTCATAAGCGGTCTGTAGCAAGATATTATGACTGCCTAAGTATAGTGAAGGTCGGTTTTCCGACACAACCTAATCCACAACTAATATTAGAGTATCAACCTTGATTGATTCCTAGGGCAGACCACTAACAGTTGCTACTCGTCATAAAGTTAATAAACTTGTTAAAATGCCTCTTCTCATAATTCCAGCATGATTCATATAGATAACAATTCTCAAACTTATAATAGTTCATAGGTTTCATTGGAATACATATATGGTTCTCCTACCAAATTCTGAAGTTCAGCTCTATTTTACAGTCTAGAAAAATTAGAACGTGGCAGACAAAAAGTTGCATACTGGAAAGTCGAAATAGAGCATCACTAGAACAAATCCTCATTGGCACGCGAAAAAATCGCACCATTGGAATGACAAATGGGCAGAAGAGTCCATCATGTGGTGACAGGAAAAATGATGTGAATCTTGTTAGGATCAAACTCAACACGAGCGGTTGATCGAGAACTTAAAATGACAATGAAAATAGAACTCACTCTTGCAGCCTTGCAGCATATCAAATTCACGCCTGATGATTTACTTGAAAGAACCTGATGAATTTTTAGAATCCAGAGCGCCACAAGTCCAGCAGGTCTCTCTCCTTTGCCTATGTGTTTTTGTACTTTGCTTCGAGAAGCTTCCTTAATAATCAACATGTCAATCATTAAATTACTTTGAGCAATCATATGAGAACAAACGAGAAAATTACAGTTGCAATATTCCAGAACAAGAAAAAAACCAATTCAAGCAATCAAGAAAAGCAAGCCAATTCACGTCATTCCTCAGTGTGGGATTTCTGTCGTCCACCTTAAGAAACTGTGATGACTATGGTCAAAGGATTTTTCTTAAAGAGCTGCTTGTTCTTGCAACATTTTGTAATTTCCGCCACATCAACTTCATGTATAAACCAGTATGCCTGCCATTATAACAATCAACTGAAGATAAAAGTTTAATTAGCCATGAAAACAAAACAAACATGTTACAGATGACCTGCAAGCAAGCAGGACACCCTTCAGATACAAAACTGGAAAGGAGATTATTAATCTAAAAGTCTGGTTCCCGATATCATGTTGAGATTGAGGAATCAAGTGGATGCAGAAGACAAATTATTTTCTCAAAAGGCACTCTTATGATCTAGTCCTCCAACAAGGGTTGCCAGTCACATTCCTACCATGATCGAGAGGGATTTCATTCCAACTAAGAAACATGAATTACTCAGAAATGTACAAAAGAGAATTACTCACGGATGATTCACCAGGACTGCCATCTTCATTCTTTAAACTTGAAAGGTCAGGTGATTGAATGGACATGCAACCAGAGTTATCCAAACTAACCAGACTCTTGCAATTTGCGACACATGATAGCCTTAGATGTTTTGAACTTGAAAGGTCCCGTGAACTTCAACTAGATTCTTGCAACTTGCACCATTTGTTTGCCGCGGAATCTTCGAAGTTGCAATTTGGGCTCGTTGCCTCTGGAGAATCTGGGAATGCCTAATCAATGTGTAAGACTAGGCAATACGCAGACTCCCAGCAGCTGGTGACTTTTCTTAGCCCAAAGCACTTGTAGATCAATGAGAGATTCGGCATGTTGAACATATAAGAACGTCGAATAGAAACCTTCGATAGTCTGACGGGAAGCTCAGGGAGACATTCAAGTGGACGGCAATCATAAAGAGTGAGTTCCTTGAGAAGGGTTAGTTTGGAAAGATATGGTAACGATGGACTTGGGAAAGTTACATGCAGAGCTGTTAAGCTAGAGGGCGGTTCTGGCAATCCTCCAAGATTTTTGCAAAATTGAACACTTAGCTGTTGGAGAGAAGAGAGCTTAGAAATGCTTTCTGGCAAGCCCAAAATGCCCGATCCGTCTAAACGAAGCTCGTTTAGCGAAACCAGTTCGCCTATATTACTAGGCAGTCCTTTCAGATTTTCGCAGCATGATGCACTCAACACTTGGAGTTTTGCTAGAATCCCAATGGCACTAGGCAATTCCGTCACGAGAGCTCCATCGATGTCCAAGATCCTCAAATTTTGCAGATTCCCAATGCTTTCAGGTAATTTTGTAATCGATGTCCACGCTAATCGCAACTCAATCAATGATGCCAACTTTCCAATCGAGTCGGGGATCTCTCTCAACGAGCAGCATCGCGTTAAGTCAAGGAGAGACAAAGATGTCAGATTGCCTATGGAGCTAGGTATGAGAGCTAATGATATACAGAAATAGGCATTAAGAGTCTCTAGTGCCTTCATAGAACCAATGGATTCAGGTAATTCTTTAATCCTTGTCCCACGTAGTTCTAAATTAGTTAACGACACAAGAGAGCCCATGGATTCTTGAAGTTGACCAACTTTATCACAATGTAGGGCATGTAGAGTCTTTGGCTTCATCAAACAACCTCTCGATATAGGAATCTCTTTTATAGCAATGTCATTGAGAAGCTCTCTCGATTCTTCCATTCTCCCTACTCTTGCTGGTACCTCCTTCAGTCTCTCACAACTATTGACATTCAAGGAGATGAGGGTCTTGATATACCAGATAGAATGATGAATTTCTTCCAAATTGAAACATCCTTCAAGAATCAAAATCTCTAAGCTTTTGAAAGCAGACAAATCAGGAGTTCTTCTCAAATATTCACAGAACGAGAGGTTGAGAACTTTCAGTTCGATTGCTATCTGAAAGAAACAAAGGAAACCTCAGTGAAAGTGGACAATCGTAACATGTGATTTTCCATTATTTCTTTTTTTTAAAGAATTTTTAAAATTCCTAAAAAATACCCATGCTCTGCTACTCTTTCACAGTTGTTTTATTTAATTTTAAATGGTTTTTCAGTAGTCTTAGGCTACACCACCATATTGATTTTATTTAAGCATATCCATTGCGAAAAGAATGTTGGGGATGTACAAGTGCTAACCACGTTTATTTTCAAATAAAATTTCAAAAAGAAAATATATTCAGTTTTTAAGAGCCATGGCAATGCCGTTGATTAGACATAAGCAAATTTTCTTATCAAAAAGCAGATGACACATAGATAGTATGAAATAAAAGAGAAACGAGTAGTTTCATTATGAAAAGTGATTTTTTAATATTATATGTACAAGATATAAAGAATGTTATATTCTAAACAAAATTAATGCCATTGGAAAGATAATTTTATTACTCTCATAACATTAATAATTTATATTTGTGCTATATAGTGACTTCCATATTCAACAATTATAATGATTAAATGTTTCGTGCAACAAGTCAGAGCAAATCATAAATTATATCTATTACTCTAAGATTAAAATGAATTTAGAATTTTAGTATGTATGTACAACACAAGTCACTACGTAGGAGCTTTTGTTTCTCCATGAAAGAAGATTGGGACAGAGATATAACAAAAATCGCTCAAAAGACATACTTTTGCATGGGGAGAAATTAACTTAGAAGCCATAAACCATCTAGATTAACGTAAATCAAAATAGGCACGAATATGTGGTTATATTTTAAATAGATGTTAATTAATATGGTTAATTTTTTTAGCATTGTCTAAGGTTACGCATGACGGGTTGTTGAGTTTTATCAATTAAAGATATTAAGCGGCAGAGGCTAGGAGCCTATAAATTCCTCTTATATTTAGATGAAAATCCTTAATCTGAGGAACGATACCAAACCTTTCTATAAGAAAGAAAGGAGAACTTGGTGTGATTGGACCTTCGGTAACACATTATTATTCACAAGAGATATATATTCTCAATATCTTACCTTGAGTGGACCCCATCCTCCCCAGTTCTCTGTAATGCTACTATATGATAGATTGAGCACGATTAATTTTTTCGGATGAAAGTTGGCCACTTCGAAATCTGAGGGACAATCCTCCCACTGAAGGCATCTTAATTGAGGAAGCAAGTTTTGGAAATCTCCGGTGAACTGCACACCACACACTTGAAGGAACCTCAAGTTGGGGAGTTTGTTAAATTGTTCACCTCGGCAGCTTTTCCCTCCATAATAGCCAAGACGAAGGGCCTCGATCTTACTAGTGCCCTTCAATTACGAAACATTGTGGACAATAAGTTTTAATTGATGAAATGAGACCAACTGTATATAAAAAGAAGAACTAATTTCAATTTGATTTCATACTATTATGGTGTAGACTTTTTACTTTCAACTTGGTGAAATGACAAGTTCTCATTGCATATGATTTATCTAATTCATGTAAAAATGTGAAGCTCAAGAAGGTGTAATTATGCCTTTTGCAAATTTGCACCTTTTGAATTACCAAAAATTGCATCCTTTCAAAATTACAATACAAGGCCTCTCTTTATGTACAAACTAGTTCAAATATATCAATCAAAATTCATGCCCTTTATATGTGAAACAGCACAACCCTAACTCATATCCTTTACATGTGATCAGCATGACACTTGCTGTTCAAGTACATCTATCAAACTTGTCATCAAAACATGTTTCAAAATCAAAGAATTTGAATTGTAGAATCTCCCCTATTATTCTGGTGTACCTTGTTTGCAATTCTCAATAGCAAAATGAAATCGAGAATGTCATCTCAAAAAGCATGCTCGTGTTTTACATTCCTTTCTTATCATGTGTTTCTTTAATAGTGTTTTTAATTATACATTGAAGAAAAATCGATTATATATGAAACGTTATATAGATGATCTTTACTCCTCTTTTTATTAGTACAGATGTTTGATGCAACATTTTCATTGTCTTGTTTATTTTGTTAGTGAAATAGCATAAATTAATGAGATCTTGCTTCAAGAAAGATTGAACATGAGGATTGATTAAATTGGATCTTAGGAAACTGGAATCTTTTACATTTTTCTTTCGTTGTAACCAAATAGTCTGGGAACTCAAATTTGTTTTTTTTTGTCTTAGGTGATGTATTGCACATTGAGCATAAATCATTAGAGTTATAAGACGGATTTGTTTGGCGGTTTGAATATTTCCTTCAAAATTTATTCGTTCGGATGAGACAGTACTTATTTTTCCTTTAAAAAATTCTTGTATATCATCGTATTTTCGTCAATAACTTTATAGATACCCTTTTTTTCAGTTCTAACCAATGCTTTATTTTTTTTTTGTCCTATTTCTAACTTTCCTTAGTCTCTGACTTTTGCTCTGTCTCTTGTAGAGCACATGAGTCAAACTCCGCATTTGTGATACTAGTGTTCCCACCCCTCAATCCCTTTACCAGTTGGGCCGCATGCCTATTGACAAGCAATGCTCTATTAAGTTGATTACATTTTCATTTGTGCAAAAATATGCTCGCTCAAATGCATCGGTAGCATGTTTTTCAATAAATCTCGTTACTTCATTATATTGTGCATTCTCTATATTTATATTTAGTGTTTTTTTTATTAAAGATACTTATGACATTTGCATAGGCTTGCTTGATGCTTGCACAAATCATTTATATGTTGTAATTGCTTTTAGTTGCATACCTTTGAACTTTCATGCTAATTATGAAAATTAATCATGACACAAAATTCAAAAGCATAATTATTTACATCACAAGTATTGGAATGAGCCATTGCTTTGACTACACCCACTTTGTACAGATATTACGCATATTAATCTCATTAATAAAATTGGATATGTCACTTTTTCAATGTTCCTTCATAAAATTTATCCTACGATAGTAATCTTCACATTTAGATCTAATAATAAACAAAAATATTCTGACTTCAGTTTTACTACAAAGTAATAAGAGGTATCTCTAATTGTGCATTCAATCAAATTAGAATGTAAGTATGTTATTAATTGTTATTATATGACTACATGGTTCTAAAACATAAGTGATGATCATTTTTTTTCAAAAATGTAGAATCGACATTATTTCTTATCCTAAATATGATGATTGAATTAAAGAAAGTACACACACACATATATATTATGTTAATATTATTACTCTATGAGGGATAAGAACAGTAGGAGCGCCATAACTTTCGTATAGCGCTCACTTGAGTACCATAACTTTTTTTTTCGCTCACTTAAGTGCCACATCGAAGTAAAATCGATCATTTGAGTTTCATTTCTGGTAAATCATTCAACATGGATTTTTTTTTTCTGAATTTTTTTTTATTAATTGTCCATGTTAGCGCCGGCGATACCACTAGGACAACCGGCATCTACGTCGGATTTTTCAGCAAGGCAAATCGCCAATGGCACTTAAGTGATCGATTTTTTAAATTTGTGGCACTCAAGTAAGTGCCGTACGAAAGTTATAGCACTTTTAGTGTACTTATCTCAAATATGCTTATACATGTGTCCATTGAAGGAGTGTTTATTTAACTATTCAAGAAATTTATCAATTTAGTCTTAAGCCATGTCAATTCAGTTTTAACTTTTCAAATTTGTCAATATAGTCTTACATATTTGCATGATATTTAAATGTAGTCTCTCCTGCCAATTGCCATTGCAAATGGCAAGGTGGAAATCAACAAATTGCCCCCATTAGCATGCCACTTAGGACGGCCGACGATGACTAAACGCCATGTCAGCGATTTTTTGTGGCAATTAGTTAGAAAGACTATATTGAAATATTGCCCGGAAGTTTAAAACTATATTGATAAAACTGAAAATTAGTGCTGATAAAGTGGAATAAATAGTTATTGACAATAAAATTATGACAATTGTAATTGTATTATAAGAAAATCCAATCAAACTATTGGCAAATACATATTTTTTGTCAATTCTAAATTCATTAAAATTTCCAAAGAAAGAAAAGAAAAATAAAGGTAAGAAATAATCTTAAATCTAGGACTTACAAGAGATATTATTGTCAATTTAAGGTAGTAGGGAGTGTGGAAATCAAAGAAATGGATGGAAAAGGGCCTTTATGCATTTATCATTTTCATATAATTTCTCATTTAAATGTTAAACCTAGCCTACTTATTTATATTTGAGTTGATGCTAGTAAAATAAGGAGAAAGCATGATGCGTTTCTAGAGTCAAGGGCCGTACGATGGTTGGAAAAAAGGAGAAGCGAATGATGTTATTTATAATTAATACTCCTTATATATTAGTACATAATAATTGTTTTGATGATATTTTAATTTCAATCTTTGTTGAAAATTAAATTTAAAATATTTTTGGATTTTATATGCAATGGGCCTCATTCATGAGAAGTACCTAGTTTTATATATATGGTATCCACTTCTATTAATATGTCTTAGAAAGAATTAATTAATGTAAGGTATTTGTTTACGTGGGACTCTTATGGTAAAGTTAAGAGGGATAACTGCATCTCCCCAACCTTTTCACTTATTTATAAAAATGTTTGGGGTAAGGACAATAGGAGTGCTATGACTTTTGTACGGTGCTCACTTGAATGCCACATCAGAGTAAAATCGATCATTTGAGTGCCATTCTCGGTAAATCGTCCTACATGGATTTTTTATTATTAATTTTCCACTTCGACGTGGATTTTTTTATTTTTAAATTTTGTTATTAATTATTCACGTTAGCACCAGCGATACCACGTAGGACAACCAGTGACCATGTCAGATTTTCCAGCGAGGCAAATCTCCAATGGCACTTAAGTGATCATTTTTCAAATTTGTGGAACTCAAGTGAGTGAAAAAAAAGTTATGACACTCAAGTAACCAACGTACAAAAGTTATGGCACTCCTACAATAAAATATTTATAGCTCTATTGTTCCATTTATTGTAAAAATTAACTTTTTTCTTCTACTGTCTTATTTTAATCCATAGATCTTACCAAACAACATAACATATATATTTTGTAGTTGTGCTAACAATTTATAAATTTATCTTTTTTTATGTCCGACGGGCTCATATTTGACAAGTAAATAATATTAAAAGCATACTTGTCAAATTACAGATGAATATCATATTGGACTCAAATTTGACAAATAAATAATATTAAAAAATCAATAAAAAATATATCCATCATCACAAGAAAAATTATATTACACGCTTTAGGAATAAATTAATATAATCAAATTACCCATCATGGAAGAAAAACTGTATGTTTAGAGGAATCTATTACATGGATGCACATAATTCAACAATAAGTATGACGCAATGTAGCGATCACTGTTATGATTGAAAACATGTATGGATACCCATTGTGACTAAGAAATATCCATCATCACAAAATAATTATTCAACATACTTTACAAATAATTGAATGTAATAAAATTGTCCATAATAAAAGGAAAAAGAACATATGTTTAGACGAATCTTTTACATGATTACATATAGTTCTACAATAAGTATAAGTGATGGCTATTATGATTAAAAAGTTCTATGGATACTCATCATGAGAAAATATTTTGTTGTATTTCACAAGCAGATTATATTAACAAATCGATAAAAAAAATTATGTAATATGATAGCTCATATTTAACAAATAAATGATATAAATGTACTAAATATGTGCTATAAAATGCTATTATGAGTTGAATGATGTAGAAATATCAAACATAACATGTAAGCTAATACTTGAGAAATAAAAATCGACAAAAAAGTTATATAACATGATAGCCCATATTTAACAAATGATGATAGAAAGATTAACGAAATTTTTGCTGAATACGATGCTCACAAGAGTTGAATTATGCAGCATTAATTATTATAACATGAAAGCCTATAGTTGACAAATGAAAATGAAAGCCACATTAGCACATTGATGGTGTTAAGTAACGGATGACGACAAAGGACTCGATTACACCAATTGTGAAAGGTAAAGGATTACATTGAAGGGGGAAAAAAATAGACGGGGGACTAAATCGTACAAACAGTAATACTTAGGGGACTAAATCTGTGTATAACCCAACTTGAAAAATACAGGAAGCAGGATAGCTAACCATCGCAAATGAATGGAGGTCTACTTTATCATAGCAAATAACTCATAAGAAGTCAATACTCGGTAAAAGAAAAAAAGAACGAAAGGATCGAACCAGAAATTATAAGAAAAATCCAAACATAAAAATGTGCATCAAACGCATATGTGGGAAAAGCATGGCCCAACAACTTATAGATGTCATGTTTTCTCGGAAAGTGCTCTTTCAAACATTATGTTTTTGTAGTTTTCTCGTTGCATTGCAGTTACCAAAGGAGAGTGTCCTCAACAAAATACTACGAGCTCAAGATATATATCAATCATTTATAACCAAGAAATTGCTCCTTTATGTCCTAAACCAAGGCAAGAACAACACGTAACCGGAAGAGCTCTTTTGCTAATAGATGCGCCAAATTTTGGCGCAGCAATTTCATTTCAAAAAAGAAAAGAGAAGATGGACTCGACATTCATTGACTATAAGCCAAGTAAAGAAAACTCTTACCTTGTTGTGTGCAAGCACATCTATGACTTCCTCATGAATCCATAATCTGCTACGCTTTTGAGGCTTCTTTTGATTTTCTAGACGAACAATTTCCCTTCCAAGATCTCTTAGTTGATCATGCATCAGTAGGTAGCCATATTCATCAACTTTAATGAGGGACATAAGACTTAATATTTCAATCCCCTTCCCCGGGAAAAAATCACAGGCATCCCACATATAAGTCGGACTTTGTTTAGATACACCAATAAAAAAACATGCAATATCCAAAAAAATCTGTTGTTCCTCATACTCTAATGCTTCGTAACTTATCCTCAACGTCTCTTGCACTTTCTTATCAGGCACTTTCTTTAATTTCTTTGCTGTATCTTTCCATACTTCCTTTGTCTTTCCGCATAAAAATGAACCTATAACTTCAAGAGCTAAAGGAAGCCCTCTAGTAATAGATACAACATCATAAGAGAAGACCTCATAATTACTCGAAGGAAAATCCTTTCGAAATGCATGTCTACTAAATAAAATCAATGATTGATCTAAAGGCAACTCATTGAGTTCATACATGTGGCCAGCCCTAGCCTTGTCAAGAATACTCTTGTTTCTAGTTGTGATGATGACTATACTTCCTGCTTTAAACCAACTACCGTCTCCTACCAAAGCATTCAACTGAGCATTATCATCCATATCATCAAGAAGAGTGAGGACTTTCTTACTTGTACATCGAGATTTGAGGACACTGATTCCGTCATCGATATTAGACACCTCACATGGATTTCCTATTATGTCAGAAATGAGCTGTTTTTGTAGGCATATAATACTCTCATGCTTAGATGTTTCTCGAATATTTGCCACAAAGCTACGATCCTCAAAATGACTAGACATTTTGTTGTATAACACCTTTGCAAGAGTTGTTTTGCCGATGCCGCCCATTCCATAAATTCCAATAATCCATGTACCACCAAATTTAGCATCTATCTTGCTCATAATTTCTTTCACACGATCATCAATTCCCACCAACTGTTCGGGAACATTTAGTTGAAAAAGTCTTTTCAACTCACTCATAACTCTTCTGACGACCATTTTGACTAATACTGCTTCATGCCTGTCAAATAACAATATAAAATTTCAATATATGATAGCAATATTTATATGCTTTTTCAAATAAGATCTATTTATGAAAAACTAAACAATGTTTTGGTGGAGAATAACGTACCCATCATCAATTTTATTGGATTCCCATCCTTTCAAGGAACTGACTTCTTTGAGCGCATCTTCCCATTCTTTCACAACCATTTGGTCCGAATTCTTTTTATGCGCGTTGATAGCATCTCCAAATCTTTCCGTAAGATTTTGCACCTGCGAGAGTTCCACTTTGTAAAATATGGGCAACACTACTTGCCCTCTACTTCTCCTGCAATTCAAAATCTGTGCCAGCTCACGAAGGCACCATTTGCTGGAAGCGTAGTCCTCCGAGATAATGGGTATCGAGATCTTAGATTGCATAATACTGCATAGAAGCTCTAGACCAATCTCCTCGCCAACACAGAGGTCATTATTGTCTCTAAACACGCGAATTCCTGCATCAACGAGGCTAGTATAGAGAAAATCGGTGAAGCCTTTGCGAGTGTCTCTCCCTCTAAAGCTCAAGAACACTTCATAGTCATTTCCTTTTGGCTTTTTGGTTCCGGCTTCATAATCACCTACATGTGGAGAGGTAGATGAGGAAGACGCCCTGTATATTGAATCTTTTGAATGAGTAAGTTCTTTTATTTTCATCTCAAGATTGATGGAGCAGAGCCTCAAAAGAAGAGGAATATGGACTCCTACATCTGGGAAGTGTAGAAATGTCTCTCAGAACTCAATTCGCAGCTACATTCAAACAAAAACAAAAGCTCTCATACTACTCATCACTGTCATCAGGAGAAAATGGAGCAATCAAAGCAGGAAAAAGAGAAGAGGAGAAGAACAAGGAGTCACCGATTACCTAAGGAGTGCTCAAACAACAGGATCCACACGCTGCTGTGATTACCGCCAATTCTCAGCCTTCCACGTTGGATAACCCCCAAGCAACACTCTTTATTGTGCGTGATTGAACAATGCTGGGTTCTGGCCAACCAAACGATCCAAGACTCTTCATGCTAATTGAACCGCCGCGATGCATGCTGGACCGAAAGGTCAATTATTGACTGTGCGGAAGCCGCGTAGAGAGACTTGACTTGACTTGACTTTTTGTTTTTTTGGTCGAAGACTTGACTTGACTTTTTGTTTTTTTGGTCGAAGACTTGACTTGACTTGCCTTTTCTATTGACAATGTAAGTAGAAAAGAAAGCTAACGAGCTATGGTCGCCTGCTCCCAGTGCTAACGTAGATGAGTCAATGACAAAAACACATCGGTTGTCGGATTAAATCAGAATTTGTTAAAAAAAAAATGTCTGTATGTCACTTAATATTCAAATAAGGGAAGTTTATTATTTTCAATCCATAATCTGATTTATTTTACTTTTTTTTTCAAAGAGATTCCTTTGAAAAGGTAACTCACAAAATAATTCCCTCCCAAAACAATTTTGCCAAACTAGATTTCTCCATGCTGCGTCATGCCTACATTATCTAGTCATCATCCCCTCACTCAAAGCACTTTTATCTCTGTCCTTAAATTTTTTTTTGAAGTTTTACAAAAATTTGATTCTTTCTATGTCCCGTTTGTAAATTCTTGGCCGACGAATTCTCCACAAATCGAATAATTATTCAGTCCTACATTTTTACCTTGTATTTTATATTTTGTTGAACTTTTTAATTCATCGGGGCGTTCTTCTTTTTCTCAGCTTTTCAATTAGATTTGTTTGTCATTAGTGATTGGATATTTCAATATCAAGATTTTGACCAATTATGTTGTTGTGATCTCCACCTATTCTCAGCCTTCGACATGTTATTACCAACACACAACACTCTCTGTCCTTGAACAGATTGTCCTTGAACTTCGGCTTAATGTGCGATTTGGTAATTGAACTTTTAATTTGTTCAATGTAGTCCTTGAACTTTAACTCAATGTTCAATGTGGTCCATGAACTTTTGGTACATGTGCAATTTAGTTCCTGAACTATATAAAAATGTATAATATAGTCCCTGAATTTGAATTAATGGAAAGACTACATTGAATATTTTTATAAAGTTCATGGACTAAATTGCACATTAAGTCAAAGTTCAGGGACTGTTTGTATCATTTTCGCTAAAAAAATTAGAGAGCAATTCTGCAGCATTATGTGGAGGGTACGTGGACCCAATGCATGTGCTTCTTGACCTGACTTTCTTTTTTTATTAATAAAAAAATTGAAAAGAAAGTTAACGATCAATACTCAGATGCTCCTGGCGCAAATGTAGACGAGTCAAGGACAAAAACATATCAATAGTCGATTTACATATGATTTCATAAATAAATGTCGACACTTTGTTGACATGGTGGAGTTAAGTAATAGCTATTCCTTCAATTGCTGTTCATACGATGTGTTTGTACAGGAGGAAAGAAAGATGCTGGTTGAAGATTTATGGAAAAATTATCCAAAAAGTCATAAACCTATTGCATTTTTGTCAATTTAGTTCTAAACCTTTCAACTTTGCCAATTGAGTTCTAAACCTTTTCGCTTCTTACCAATTGAGTCCATTTGGCCAATTTTTGCCAACGGTTTCTCCCAATCAAATAATTATTCCATGATACGTTTTTCCTTTTTACTTCATTTTTTATCGAACTTTTATTTCATGTTGAAATTTATTTTCCTTAATATTTTTAGTCAAGATTATCACTTATTCAGTTGAAGGTGTTATCATGAACCGATTATATTACAATAACATGACTTTGACCAATTTCTATTGTTATACAACATTGCATCACCAATTGCTTTTTTTGTTTTTTTTTTTAATTTCTTAAGTAGAATCTATTTTGTTAACATGTTCAATGTACTATCTCAACTTACAAATGGAAAAAAAAGCGAGACGGGATGATATGGTGGACTTGTACTTCACGAGGATGGCTAATTACTAGTTACGTGTTTCGTCATGGAAGAAATAAACAAGCATATGCATATATGAAAGATTAAATAGAAAAATAAGTTTGAGGGAAGAAATGGATGAAATTAGTGAGGTCTTACTTGCATGGAAGGCAAAATATTTAGAGTGAATGAACCAAACTTCCATTATTAGAATGAACAATGTAATTAAATTTTTCTGCCTAGGTAATGTTTCCTCTTCATCTGGGAATATATATGAATGAGTTGGTCATTTATTTAGACTAAAAATGTTCAAGCATAGAAAGATCGATCAGCAGCTATTTGTGCAAAGCTCGTAATGACCTCCTAATCTAGAAGGGGGGTCACACTCATCTGTGATTGCAATTGTGTTGTCGTAACCAGATTAAGACTTCTTTGACTTGGCTTGCTGGTCGAAAATAATTTTGTGGTGACCCTTTCATAGATTAGAAGATGCAATAGGCAACGGTCAAACCTGGATTTCTATGCTGTATCGGCGTTTTCTTTTGACTAAGATGTGCTATTTTCTTCTCATTCCCACTTAAGACTCAAACACTTTGAGGTTTTCAAATTTATGATACATCACTTTGGCCGTTGAAATTATGATGCATCGCTTTGAAAACTAAATAAATGATCCAAATTGTTTGCACGATAATTGTTTGCGCATACATCTTTTGCGAACATATGTGTAGTCGTACGGGGAACTATTATTCACTTTATCGGCATAGTGGCTATCTCATGAAAATTCGAAATTTTTTTCTTTATTTTGTTGGCACGGCATAGAGACCTTTATTAATTTAACTTATTTAATCAGAATGGGTTAAAAAAAAAGCGTGAGAGGCATTGGCTTTATGTGAGCTCAATGCCTTACAATCATTAAATCATTCGGGTCTCACATGAGATATACCAAAATCTATTGTATAGTGTGAACCAACTAATGTCATGGCTTTGACCAATTATATTGTTATATGATATTGCATCATAACCAATTGCTGTATAAACTCTTAGTTTACTTGGTTTGAGTAGAATCTACGCCTACTCAAGTATATTTTCGAACTGGATGATACTTAACTCGGTTGCGGCTCGGATGGGATCATCTTCAGCTTTTCTTTATCTGCTCTTCGCACCCTTCAGTTTCAAAACCATGCAATTTCCACCCCCGAAGACTCGAAAAGTCTACGCTTTTACAAGGTGTAGAATGGTAGAACAAAATGTTGAAACAACAACGCGTGGACTTTTTTTTGGTCGGACAATGTGTGGACTTAGTCTTCACAAAATTTCAGGGTGAAAAATGTGAAATCTTGAAATCACAGGGCGTAAAGAGTTGATTTTAAGATTCGATGTTCTAGATTTTCATTAATGAATTTTTCCTTCGGTTTTTTGGCTAGGTTCATTAATGAAGAAAATTCGAAAATAGTGAACAAAAATTTTAATGTTTCGACCAAATTTTTTTTTAATGCCCAAGGTAGACTGAACCCGTTGTATTAGTCAGAGGCCTAAAGTCTAACCTCAATTTGGGCTTAAACAAAAACAAGAAGCCCATTTTTGGAATTTGTCCAATGCGAGTAGGGGTGAGTAGTTCCTAATGCAGTTCAGTTCTTGAGTGGAACCGGGAACCGGACCAGTAAGACCGGTTTCCAATTTTCAGGACCAGGAACCGGACCGACGGATCATGAAACCAGAAATCGGACCGGACCAATGGTCCGGTCCGGTTCCAGGCGGTCCAATGAAACCTTTTGCTATTTACCAGAAAAAAACTAGAAGTGTGAGAATGACACACTTAACAAGTAATACCCGTTGTCGTGGCCAACTTGCTGCAAAAAGAACACAGCACATAAAAAAGGCTTGGCTTAGATTTTATTGACAACTCCTCTTACGATCTTTGCATAGCCATTCGATGTGAGACTCTCGGCATTTGCATGGAGACACGATAACAGAGACAAGCCAAGAGTCCCACATCAAAGGCGTCCACACGAAAGGCTGGACACACAATAGAGAAAAGTTATACACATTACACACAAAGAGTCCCGCATCGAATGGGAACCAAGAGACCATCAGAAGGGTTGTGTATAAAATCCAAACCTTGCACGGTAATTAGAGATCAAATGGATAAGTTTGAACTTTTTATATAAATAAAATTAAAATTTTGAATAGTATCGGTCCGGTTTGGTTGGGTTTCCCCTGGAACCGGGAATAGGACCAAAAACCACCGGTTCCAACTTTTGGAACCCGGGAACTGGACCGACGCCCCTTAGAACCGCCTAGAACCGTCCGGTCCAGTTCCCGGCGATTCCTGGTTTTTTTGCACACCCCTAAATGTGAGGTTCTTTAGAAATAATGACCCACGATTGGATGACGTCCCGGAAGTTTTATTACGATTGTGATTATTATTTGTACCTTTCTCGGCCTTCTGGCTAAGATCTAAGTGTCAATGATTATTTGGCTCTATGTCTTCTGGTTTTCTCTTAAATCAGAAATGCTTGATTGTCGATTAATTAATGATTAAAAATCTCGATACATGCAGGGGTAAGCAAAAAAGGGTTCAAACTCAATACTCAACTAAACTTTTGACAAAAGTACTATCTTAAATAAATGGATCACAAATAAAACAAACCATTTTTTGCAGTTAGGATAATGACACAAATAGTCCTGAACTTTGGCTCAGTGTGCAATTTAGTCCCTGAATTTTTAATTTGTTCAATATAGTCCTTGAACTTTTGCCTAATGTTCAATGTGGTCCCTTGACTTTTAATTTGTTCAATGTGGTCCATGAACTTTTAGTACATGTTCAATTTAGTCCATGAAGTATATGAAAATGTAAAATATAATCCCTGAACTTGAATTAATGGAAGGACTACATTGAACATTTTTATAAAGTTCAGGGACTATATAAAACATGTACCAAAAGTTCATGAACCATATTGAACATTGGGTTAAAATTCATGGACTACATTGAACAAATTAAAAGTTAAGGGATCAAATTGCACATTGAGTCAAAGTTTAGGAACTGTTTATGTCATTTTCCCTTTGTGGTTTGGTTTAGTTCCAACTATTTTGAAACCGAC